GTGTGTGTGTGTGTGTGTGTGTGTGTGTGTGTGTGAGAGAGAGAGAGAGAGAGAGAGAGAGAGAGAGAGAGAGAGAGAGAGAGAGAGGGAGTTGATTGTCCCTTGCAGCTGTGTTTTGGGTTATGATTATCCTTGTGGGGGGTCTGTGGGATTGTCTGAAGTGGGATGCTGATAGTGGTGTTGTCGGTTGCTGTGCAATATTGTCTACGCGTTTTGCGTTTGTCAAAACAACAGCTTTTTTCGATGTTGCAGTTGGTGATGATGACAACCTGTTGACTCCAATATCACTTGGGCCAAGTTTGTTTGCATATGCACGTGAAGCTGGTGCCAGGATCCACTCCAATTCATGGGGTATGCAAATCTATCCTGCGGACCTCTCCCTGGTTGGAGAAGAGCTCAGCATCAGCAGCAACCTTGGCATGCAAAGGAAAACTGCTGTTTGGTGGCTGGGATGGTTGATTATGAAGTTTGGTTTCAAATTTCTGATTTAGCATTTTTGTTTCTCCGTGCTATTATCCTGTCCACTTCATGAAGCAAGGGTCAACTTTCAGACAATACAATTCAAGACAACTCAACAAGAAGTGGCATTAAACCAGGGAGAGAGGAGAAAGAAGGAATAAAGAAGACGATGAAGATGAATGCAAGATTAGACAATTTCATGTCCCTCCTCTTCTCACAATCATCGTCATCGCTTACATAATTTCCACCGCCTCTTATTAAACCACCAGTACTTTTCCCAGCCATTTTTCTCCAAGCGGGCGTTAACGTGCTTCGACTTGTGGGGCATGGCCTACCTGAGCTAAATGGCTGGCATCGCCAGCCAAAAAGAAATGCACTGGTTCCCTTTTATTTTTTTTGAGCAAGGCTTTTCAGGCTCGGAAAGGGAAGGTGCATAAGTACTGGTGGTTTAAACCACCGGTACCTTGCCCAGGCAAACTTGAGAATCGAGAATGTGACATTCCGGGTTCTATGGATGGACAGTGCTACCGGACCAAAATGCCTGGCGGCGCTAGGCAAAGAAAAAGAAAACGCATCTGTGGCGGTTCATATCCTTTTGTACACAGTGGGACTCTTCCTTCGCAAAAAGAGCCTTGGAGATACCGCTGGTTCAATAAATTAGAATGATAAAAATGAATGAATGAACAAGAATCGATGTCTGAAAGACCTTCCCTATTGCCCAGATCCTCCCTATTGCACATGTAGAAAGAACTCTCTTTTAGCTCCCTCTCTCGTCTCTCCTCTTGGTAGAGCAACTGCCTATGGTGGATCATCATCGCCTCTGTAGGCGGCGCGGATCAACTGGCCGGACATTCTGGCAGGCACTTTATCCGGAAATCCGGATAGAGCAGTAACTGCCACGTGGCAGCCCAAAAAGAGGGTGGGGGCTTATTCCACATTGTGCGCCCTCCCCCCAGACATGAAAAAAAATGGTGTTCCAGACATTTTGCATGGTAAACGCTCCCCCTCCTTCTTCTTCTTCTTCTTCTTCTTCTTCTTCTTCTTCTTCTTCTTCTTCTTCTTCTTCTCCTCCCTCCTCCTCTTCTTCTTCCTCCTCCTCTTCCTCCTCTTCCTTGCCTACTTCATCTTCTTCTTGTCCTCCCCTCGTCCTACAGACCCTCTCTTCTTCCTCTTCCTCTTCCTCTTCTTCCTCTTCTTGCCTACTTCATCTTCTTCTTGTCCTCCCCTCGTCCTACAGACCCCCTCTGCCCGTCCTTCTACCTCTCGCCATTGCCCTCTCGGCCCGCCACCTCCACATCAACGTCTACAAAAAGAACAATAGGGGAGAAGGGGAGCAGGATGGTCGGCGAGGGGAGAAGGGTTGGGAGGAGAAGGGAGGAGGGTTGTAATAGATAGGTAGGTAGATAGGTAGGTAAGATAAGGTAAGGTAAGATAAAGGTAAGATAAAGGTAGGATAAAGAGAGAAGATAAGAGAGGAGAGGAGAGGAGAGGAGAGAAAAGAGGAGAAGAGGAGAGGAGGAGAGAAGAGAAGAGAGAAGGAGAAGAAAGAGAAGAGAGGAGAGAAAAGAAGAGAAGAGAGAAGAGAAGAGAAGAGGAGAGGAGAGGATAAAAGAGGAGGAAGGAGAAGAGAAGAGGAGAGGAGGAGAGGAGGAGAGGAGAAGAGAGGACAAGAGAGGAGAGGAGACCAGAGGAGACCAGAGGAGAGAAAATACATAGATAGACAGACAGACAGACAGATGCAATGACTTGCTGGTTTTGGGTGCCTGTAGCCTCTCTCGTCGAGGCTGTACTATAGATGGGATAGATTCGTAATTTTTGTTTGGCTGAGGCCTAACCGAGAGACCTACCTGTAGGGAAAATTCTTGAGGGACATATCTGTAAATTCGGGAAAACACAGGCCCGTACTAACTAACAGTACCTACAGCTACCCTAACTGCGAATAGCAGGCCCGGACTACCCCTAGGACAGACAGGCCCTAAGGGCCTATGCTGATAGACGGTCCTATAGCTTATAGCCGGGTAGGTAGAGGCCGAGAGGCCGAAACTGAAACAGTACCGGTCGGTCTAGTCAGTCCAGTCTAGGTCGTGTCTAGGCTAGTGTAGGTTATAGATAGGAGGAGGACATCGGTTCAGGGCTTTTGGCAGTTGGTACCGTGTACATCGCGGTTGTGCAACGCGTGAACTGGAAGTGGTGACAGCTTCAGCGTTGAAGAAGACGAACATAGCCGGACCTGCGGAGTGTCAGCCATAGCTGGGACTGACGCTGTACTCTGAGAGCACGCGGGGCTGCTCAGAGGTCTGGGCTATTCGAGGTCTGCTGGAGGCGAGAGAAGTTGGTGCCCTGCTGGACCCTCCTCAGGAGTAGGGTTACAGGGTGTGTGGCGCTGCAGCCATAGCTGCAGCTTCTTCCTCAGAGATCATCTTGTCAGGAGAGGTGGCACTGCTGCGGACTTCCACCCGGGAAGTCATTCGGCACTTCGTCATCATCAGATACTGTGGCGCTGGTCTTCTTCTTCATCCTCTGAGAGGCACTTGGCCTCAGAGGCCTGTTTCAGGGTGGTGCTGCCTTCTGGAGGCTGTATCTGGGTGGCGCTTGATGTGTCAGGGACTCAGGGGTAGAGATAGCGGTTACTCAGGGTTGGGGAGTGAAGCGCTGCTCAATTCTGAGCAGCGCACCATAGTTCTGGGGTTTTCCTGACAATTCGAGACTCTGAGTTTAATTGTGTGCAGACTATCTTTGCTTCATTGTTTCTTGGATGTGATCTACTCGGCTTTCCTTTGTGACTGGTTGTGAGGATTCTGTGGAGCGAAGTGCACTTTCAGTGTTCTCTGTCATATCGCATGGTCAAGTCTTCCGCTGCGTTTATCTCTCCCTGTGAGGTGTGATACTCCCATCCTCTCCCCTTCCTTCTGTGTATGTATGGGCATACATGGAAGTCCATGAGTTCGAGTGTTGGTCTTCTGACAGCAAGCAACCAGGTTAATAACACAGACATACTCTTTCTCTCTCTCTCTCTCTCTCTCTCTCTCTCTCTCTCTCTCTCTCTCTCTCTCTCTCTCTCTGTGTCTGTCCGTCTGTCTATGGATCTTCTCTCCTCTCCTCTCCTGTCCTCTTTTCTATCCTATCCTCTCCTCCTCTTTTCTCCTCTCCTCTCGATAGATGGACATGCGGACATACAGAGGCAGAGAGAGAGAGAGAGAGAGAGAGAGAGAGAGAGAGAGAGAGAGAGAGAGAGAGAGAGAGAGAGGAAAATAGAAAAGAGAAGAG